CCATATTATTGTAGTCTACCCGTTTCGCCAAAGTATTCGTTTCCGCATGCTTTACAAGAGAACAGGTACAACAAACCCGAACTCATTCAATCATCCTTTCTACCCGTTAAGGCATATTATGCAATTTTGCGTTGTACATAGACGGTAATAAAGGCAGCTGTGTTCTTAAAGTGCCTGTTGGCGTACCAATCATTGTCAGCGAGTTTTCTAGACCGATACTTAAGCAACCTTTTGTAGTTGCACTTATTTCGCTGGAATTGAAGTGCAGGATAAACGGGGCCTCATTCTCGTAAAAATTATCGTTTAAGACGCATTCTCCTCTCCCCACCCACCATGTGGAGCTACAGTCTCGTAGCTGTTGGAAATGGCTATTTGTGTCGCCAATTTCAAGGATTCTTACTCCTACTCTCTTCCTGTGCACACGTTTATGGCTGTTCGAAACATAATTCTCACAAGCACCCTTTCTCTAATGTGAGCAGTGAGCGGAAAGGTGGGAAACAAGCTTTTGCTGCTTGAATTTCGGTACCATTTCGTAATGCAGTCGTTTTCGAACAGGTTAATTTGGACATTCGGAAGTAGAAGACAGTTTTTTTTCGGTTTATTTCGGCTGAACACAGTGTACTCCGATTGCTCATTTATCAACTCAAAATTCTCTATCTCCAATCTTATGGAACAGAATCATCTGTATATCTACAGCAGAGTAATGGCCTGAGGTCGATTACTAATACCTCGACAGAATACATAAAGACAATGGCAAGATTTGGTTCTAGCCGCCATTCCATTGCTAGTCTTCCAATTTGGGCGTAATATTTTCCGGTCTATCTGAAGATCGAGCAGTTTAGACAGACCTTTAGGACGGCCATGAACTGCTAGATTGGAAAGCCATACATGTTTGTTGCCTCGTTGTGTTGCAAAGGGAGCTCGCGGATGGCTTGTATTGCCGAGTTATTAGAGGCGTTGGTATGATGGGCGGTTTCGTGGAACGATTCTTTTACGCACGTGCTGTTAGGACGCGCTCTACTCAAGGGGATGTAGGAATATCTAGATGTTCATGAGATGAGCTGGAGCTTGGCACAACAACTGGGCGAGTATTAGGATTAGAACCGTGTTATTCTATTCATTGACCCATCTACACAGCTAGTGAGAGGATCTAGCTTTGAATTATGTTTGATCGATATATGCACGATCGCCACTGAATATTAATCTATATGAAGTACAACCACAACGATGCTGAGATATGAGCAAAACTAGGAACCTCTGGCGTTTTTCCAACCACGATTATCCTTACCTGGAGCTCATATGCTGTCAACCACACAAACCTTGCCCCTTTCGTGTCTTTCTGGATGAAAAAAGAATAGGTAATAAATAAGCTTCAACTTTTGTGGGTTTAATGCCGTTATGTGGTTCCCAGATCATTCCGTTTGACGGGTGATTGCTGATAGCACCGGAAGCGTAAAGGCATGGATGGAAGCAAAACATGAAATGTATGGATGGAACAAGTAGTCTGTTTAAAAGAATACCTAGACGGTAAGCGTAAAGTCAAACAAAGTGCTTCACTAAGCGCACATGGGACACGGAGACGCAACGAGGAAGATTTTGAACTAGAAATTACCATCTTCGCATGGAGTTGCTTGTTCGCACCTTTTTACAGTTGCTCTCTAGGTTCAATACTCAGTGGAAAACTCATAGAAAATGGTGCTTGTGAAAAAGTTGGCTTGCTTTTAATACGATTGAAATCTAGGTATCATGGTCTTTCTTTTGAAGTTATAAAGCTGTTTGGCCGACTATGTTGCAGTTAACTTGACCTCTCTACTCTATGAAGAAGGCCGAATCCGCCGAAACGTCAACTTTTGTAGATGAGCAATTAGTTTGGTAACAATCTTGTGTGCTTGTCAAGAAAACAGTGAATTATTGATCAATTCCGGAGTTAATAGAAAGTCGGTCTTGAGGATAAGCTCTTTATATGTTGTAGTTCACTGTTCAGTCGCACCAGTTGGATATTTATTGGTTTTTCGGCACCTAGAATCGGTAAATCAGGCCAGCACTCGTCATCACTCATGCTCACCTTTTCCTCTTATGCACACTTCTGCAAACAGACGTTTTTTTTCCCTGGAAAAGGATTTAATCACGAGGGTCGAATAAACTGAGACATTGTAAATCTATGGAACCCATAGTGGCTGCTTTCTTCTCAATGCCACTTGCTCTTATTCTTTGCGTCCTTGCCGCAGTTGTGGTTTTTCGCAAGGTGTTTTATGCAGCATTCGATTGGACCAACAAAATTTTTCTGTCTGCTATGTAGTTGCAAATCCGTGGAAAATTTGAAACAAATTCATCTGTCGTGAGCCACTGATAGCTCACACTCGATGGAGAAATTTCTGGTGTAAGGAACTGAAATAAAAAATTTGGCCGCTAACAAGATAGTTAGTATTGGTGAAAAATAAAAGTAAAAGAAAGTGTAGTATCACAGCTCGATCCTAAACATCGATTAGTTTAACAGTAGTTTTACGAGTTGGTGCAAGGCCACTTTTATAAGGATAAATCATACACGTACATTCGTAGCAAATTAGTTATATGGGTTCTCCTTAAAGTTTCCTTTTAATTATGTATTGAAGTATCTTATAATGCAAAAAAAAACGATAAATAAAGGATAAAGTTCTCTGCGTTGATCAATCTCTGAGGGATGCACCATGCATCCGACTTCACTAATCATCGTTGGAGGTGATTGAATACACATCTGGCTTTTACCTTCACTCGAGGTAGCCTAGCGATGTACCGAGCCGGTGCCGCTGTCCTCCTAGACAAGTCTGGTACCAACTTACCAATTCCGGAGAGATGGAAGGTTTGGTGGTTCAGGGGAGCGTGGATCGATTCCACGTGTGTGTTGTTGGGCGCCTCCGACTTTGCGCCACACGCGCCTCTTATAATGTAATATAGGAAAATTTTTTTGGAGACATGTAAAGATATTCTTAGCAAACTTTTAACCCAGATTTACGTGGCTTTCATTACAGGATGATGAGTGGAGCACATGCGATGTTCACTCCTCGTTGAATTATTTTCCTTGCTGCCATCGCCATTAAGATAAGCTTGTTGGAAGCACAGATCATGTTAACATTCGCGATCACAGTATTGTCAGTGTGCACAAATTTGTCGAATATTCACTAAGTTGCCAAATACCGTTCTTTTTGAAGTTGTTAGCCACATATGTCGACCCTTCAAACTTTATTTGGACGCTAATAGAAACCAGCTGTTGATCAGCATCGATGATGCTTGGTTTCGTCTTCTGAGCACAAGGCTCATTTGTGACGATACCTCATGTCATTCATGGTTTGAGACTCTACCTTGAAACATTGAAGTCAGTGAATATTAACTCGTATGATCTATCGTTTATTTGCTGTGGTTTTACATTGCTGTGCAAAAATGAAGAGGAAAGCGATGACGTCATAGAAATGACTTCTTGAACGGTTGTTATAAGAAGACACCAATCATGAATGGATGTTCGCAAAATAACATTAATTATCATTGATTATAATACCACATTTACCAGGTAGTCTATTCTTTGTTGAAAATACATCACTAAAGAAGGAAATCGAGAAATGCTATTTTTAAAGGAAGGCTATGATTACAAGCTGCTGAGGAGTCTTTGCAACTGTATTGGTACTGTGGACAAGAGAATCAGTTGACTAGTCGTTGCTCTTTAGCGAAGAACAATCTGAAATTACAGATACTCATGATATGCACTACACCGCTCTCGTCTGTGGTAGTTCACATATTTCTCAGTGCCACGAAATACATGAAAATAATCCTTAATCGATTATGAAATAGTTCTATGATGTTTATCATGACATGCATAACTCTTTCCTACTGTTTACCACTACGCTATTGGAAGTTTACGTTGCTTGTGGTTCATGATCTTGAAGGATTGTCCATACTGCGAGCAAGTTTCACATATCAACTTCCAAACCAAAGTACAGAAAATCTTGTCTCAGCCTGGCAAGCTAACGCAGGCGCTTAATGCCAAAAAACAATATAAATAAAAAGTCTTAAAGCAAAAGTCTGTGAAAAAAATCTAATCGACTTTGATAGTGCCTGTACTAGTAGAGTTAATTGTTTACTCCAAATGATGTATTTCTTCCCAACGGTTTACAGCCTCATCGTGGGTGGGATGTGTTCCTGGATGTCCGACTGCGATATACAGCTGAAGAAATCGTCTCCTCCGGTAGGGTCTCCTAAGTTGACAAGGAATCTGGCATTTCCATCAGGAAGGCAAGCTAAGACTAAACTAATACCACGATCCGCCACCGTCCTGGTACCAAAGTCTCATGGTGGCAAATCTCCCTCTAATCCACAAGGGCTGCGACTACCTGTGGTGGTGAAGACCTGGGCCAGACTTTGACCAGGCTGACCTCGGGACTCCAGGGAGCCATAATGGCCTAACCAGCAAATCTCCGAAAATTGGAGATTATGCTGGGGCCCGCACAACCAGTGAGGACGGCCCATTTAAGTATCAAGTAGGTAAGTAAATGATGTAGATGATGTAAATCTGCAGCAACAGTGCTTGTTTGTACAGTTAATTAGAAACATTTCTGAAACGATGAAGAGGTGCTTCGCCCAACGTCTTTCCATTCTGTGAGAAGTAGTGCAGTTGGATAGTCACAGAATTTAGCAGCACTCATTCGCTTCAAAGTTGCAGTGGAAACAGTGGACGTCAGGAAGATTGCAGATTTCATCGATGTCTTCAAAATGCCTCTACAACCGCATATTATTCTTTATAGCAGCCTTTCATTACCATTATTATTGATGTTATTGTCATTGTAATCATTGTTATTACTATTATTGTCATTGTTATTATCATTATTATTGCTATCATTATTGCTTTGGAGAAGAAGTACATGTGTACTGAGGTATCCGAACAACTTCAAAATTTTCGTGGATACGTGTAGTAGATTTTTTTCTAGAGCTGATCGTTTCCATATGAACTGCTTTGGGCATCGACATTAAACTCACCTGTACATGCTTACAGCTAATAGAGCTCCGAGCGATGGGCCTACGTAGTACACCCAGTGATAGCTCCAGAATCTATCTGCAAGCTTGTCTTGCATGAATATCGTCGCAACAATGTTCGGGCCAAATGAGCGACCGGGATTCATTGAAGCACCTGAGATGCTTCCTCTGAAAAGGATATAGGTGATTGGTGAAGGACGAAAAAAATCAGAAGCATTTCTTTTCATTTTAAATTTTATTCTAATGTACCAATTTTTCAAAAGCAGATTTTTTCGTATCAGTGAAAAAACTTAAAAAAAGAAAAAGCGAAAAGATAGTAACTTGTTGCAACTGGCTTCCCACTAAGCTTCAACAAATTTAATACTTACGCAGCCAGAATATCCACGATGAGTGTGAAACCGATAGCAAGCGGTGCGAGTACGGTCGAAGAATCGACCGCAGTCATTAGCACTGTTTGCATGAGTAGGTATGTAGTGAGAACTTCAGCAATCAGAGCCTTAATAAAGAGATGGATATATATATATTTTACTTTTTATTTCCTGCCTACTACAATTTTTACGGCAGGGTATTAAGCGAAATACAACCACAACGTTGCTAAGACATTTGCAAAACTCCGGACAGCAGCTCTCTACGGTGGGAAACGAACGTGCTATTAAATATGTATATATGTATGTAATATATATAGATGAATTTTTGTCTACGTTGCTCGCTCCGTAGCCTAGAAAATGGCCGAACATATTCTAAGCAATACACAGCTATGGCATGCAGGGAGTAGTAATTTGTACGAAGAGTCCTCCTCCATTGGCCAGATAAACCTTCCTATAACTACAGGTTAGTGGGCTGGGAGAATCGTCACCTGCCAAAGGTCGAACGTCGAATGTTCGTTGACTCATACCCCTGAGTTATACTGGCGAATGAAATCCTCGACTAAGGAAATCTTGTCAGCCACTTTCAAGATCAGTTTAATATTAATGGCTTAGTTAACCTCATTCCAGAGACCTTGTTGTCTTTAAGCCTAAGCAGTAACAGAAAAAATTTGAAATAAAATTGGTATACAGGTTCACAACAACGGCCAGATGAGGGCTGTTTTTCGTGAACTATGGTTGGAGAATTTCAATATGGACGACTTATGCAGCAAACGAAAGGCTACGGCGGCTAACTAAAGTCTGAGGAGTCACCTGATACCACATGACATCCATTCCGCACAGGGTTGCACCGCCTTGTATGGATACATATTGGTCATATGACAGTAGAATCTACAAAACGTGTGATTGGTTTAATTTTAGTCATTCAGCGTGTACAAATTTTCCGAGGTGCCAAACAAGCAAAAGCAGTTGAAAAGAGAAAACGGCTGAATTTTAGACAAATGTGGTTAGCGAGCTTCAGTCCAATTGTCTTACAACACAGCAATTCAAAACAGGTCAGTAATTAACGAAATGAAATCAACGCCGTCTACAAACCAACATGACAATAAATTGAAAGTTGTGGAACTGCTAATACTATCAAAATCAATAAACCGGTAAAATTCCAGTGTTAGCAGTAACAGACTTACCCTGACCATCAGCGAGCCAAAAACTCCGCCGATAAGCTGAGCGATGATGTACAAAACGGCCTCCAACGGAGGTATCTTGCCAGCCGCTGCTAAGCCAATGGTGACTGCCGGATTCACATGACCACCACTACAACTAGGATAATGCATGACGAAATCGACATCGGTGTTATAATTAGGCAGAGTCTTCGTTTTTCATTATTTTATAATTGTTCACACTAGTTTTTCTTTATTTTTAACGCCAATTTATTTTAAACACCAATGAATTTAAAAGAACATCCCAACGGTTTACCTCCTCATCGTGGCTAGGGAGGTGTTTCTGGATGTCGGGCTTCGATGTACAGCAGAGGGATTCATCTCTTGGCAAGGTCTTCCAAGCTGGAAAGGAGTCCGGCGTTTTCATCAGGAAGCCCAACTAAGAGCAAACCAATACCAGGATCCGTCATTTTTCTGGTACCAAGGTACATGGTGGCAAATCTTCCTCTGATCCACAAGAGAGGCAATTGCCTCTGGTGGTGATGACCTGAGCCAGAATTTGGCCTGGCTGACCTAGGAACTCCAGCGAACCATAATGGCTAAACCAGCAAAACTCCGAAAGAATGGAGGTTGTGCTGACGCCCGCACAACCAGTGTGGACAGGCCATCCATGCATCCAAGTAATTTAAAACGCCTTTTGTATACAAAATGAGAACAATTTCAGGCATGAAATAGTTGCCTGCTCTTAAATCAATAGCCGATTTGAAATTCCATCTTTTCCCATATATGTTTTAACATCAGTTCTTTTCTCAAATGTTGTGCTATTAATATATATCACTGAAAAGCTAATTTTGCTCACTTTCTTTCCGTATAATTGAGTTATAATAGAAATCGTGTTTTAGACAGTTTTTGAGGGCTAGAATTTTAGATATCAAAGTGGCAATTAGGACAAATCTATTTCTACGAACTCGAGCTGGGACGTACGCAGCGCAAACGGCTCGAAACAATAGCGAACCATGAGGTCAAGGAAGTGTTAACAAACACACGCTGCAATTTTTTCTTGGAAAATTTCGTCGTGGAGAACCGAGCATGAAGGTGGTGAAGATCGCGAACGACGTTCTGCTGCTCCTGACGACGAATTGAAAGATTTCGCTAAAGAAACTACGCGCAACTCTCTTGCAGAAGAATTCTATGCAAGCGTTCTAACTGTTATGGTGTATACAAAGAGCATTGGAATGTCAGAAAAGCTTGATAAATCATTGCCGCACGAATTGAATGACAAGCAACAAAATCCCAGTCTTTAGGTATCTTCGTTGGTCAGTCAACGCAACAAAAACGACACGTTTTTGGACCGTGGTGTAACATGTAACGACAAGTATATTTTCTAGGGCAGTCGGCGACGAACAGCTCGGTGGCTGCAGTGTAAAGAAGGTCCGCAGCACTTCGCAAACCCAAAATTTCATCAAAACAGAGCCATGTAGACTGCTTGCTGATGTACATTTGGTTGGATCTATCACAGCTTCCTGAATTCGAGGAAAACGATTAAGACGGAAAAGTATGTCCAGAAAATCGCCGAAAAAAAAACGGAAACTTCAGTGGCTATTCCCCTCTCGCCTCACAATAGGGGTCTGTCACACGTCGTACTACTAATGCTGCAAAAACTGATCCAACTAAGTTACAAAACTCCACCTTGTCCACCGTGCTCTGGGGTCTCCTTGTCTCACCACTATCATTTTTGCAGGCATCTTGACAAATCCAGTGAGAAGAATGCCGCAGAAATCAATCCGGAGTAGGAAGTGTCTTTAACGACTTCGTCAAGAAGTCTGGAATTTTAAGCAGTCTGTGTAAATGAACTTGATTTTCGTTGGGCAAGATATGTAGATTTTAATGACTTGTTTCGATTAATGAAGTTTGCTCTTAGGCGAAATACGCTACTTTTGAAATACACCTTAAAACTAGTCATCAATGCTTTTCAGCTTTATCTCACCATGGCTTTGTTGCCCACATGTGTCACTATGTCTTATCACTTGAACACGTTTATACAGAAATTGGGCGATTTTCACTTGCAATGTATCCGAGCAATATTTACAATCCGGATCTATTCCCGTGTCGACCATCCGACGGCCTTGAGCATTCAACTAGGCTACCAGTGGTCGAATGTGATCGGGAAGCGGGCGACGACAAAGAAGATAAACTTATACTCGTCTCAGTTCTCGTACAAACAGCCAACAACAGCCAACCAGCGAATTCAAACTTCGCAGGTTTTTTGGCGTCGATCCTCTCGTTGTTCATTTCTACATTACCTTCTTCCCTAGATTTTCTCGAAGATAGCTTTCAATACTAATAGTCTGGCTAAATTTTTTTCAGAAGAGAAAACTTGTGCACACGTTTGGATTTAGTGTTTGCTATGCGGGTGGGTGTTCGGCTATCGCAGAGAGCAGGTACAAGGAACGTTGGTGTGCTAGAGGCTCATATTTTGCTCTCGTTTGCAAGTCTTTCAAGAATGGTTCTTTCTACTGGGACATCACTATGACACTCGGGAAGCTCGACTTTTTATCGCCAATTAATATGGATCCATCCCATGCTCCTTTTGCGGTGCCTGAGTGCGTCGCGATAATCGTCTATGACAAAAAGGTACCGTAGCCTCAGCAATTCACTCTTAGCCGTGCTTTAACGCTCTTCTAGATTGCGAAAAAGAAAAGTGGGCGGCAGTTTTAAGCGATCAATTCGCACAATAGGCGGTTGATGTCAGCGATGGAATTGCGTGGAGTTCACGACCAAAGAGACGTTCCAGGTATGTGTGATACTTCTTCGCTTTGTTTTTTGGTTGATCTCTGCTACATGCACAACTACAGTTTTCCGTTGGCAGAGTGGTAAAACGTTTGGAATAACCAACAATATTTCCGAAAATAGCTTACCAAAAATTCGTTTGAATCAGAAAAAAACGATTTTTTCCGAAAATCCTTTATCTTTAACGTCTCATCAACCCATTTCTGCCTTTCGAACTGGAAGAGATTCAAGGGTGACCTTGCAAACTGCGCCAAAATTAGCAACGCTTAAATTCAAAGCCTACTCATGCAAGGTAAGAGTTTAAGACACAGAAAGATAAGATATGATACTAATAACTTATTGGGAGTAAGAGATTTTATCAGATCAGGTAAACAAGGCAACAACAAGAAAAAAGTTTGTAGGCGCTAATAATGTTAGAAGATTGCATTCTTTAGAAGTTCAGTCTTATCTTGGTAGATTCTCCCCTGCAGCACCTAAGCAACGAATTCACCTGATATGTGCAAAGACTGATACCAACACGAATATGGCGACACCATGGCAAAGAGCAGAATGTAGAACTCCATCGTAGGTGGTTAGTGCTTGTAGAGAACCTGAATTCACCATGCTGAAAACCATCGAAAGCTTACACTTGCTTGTCGAACTAGTGGATGTTTTGTGTAATTGCTGTTTAACTAAAGGCTCAGAAAAATATTTCATGAATGCCAAATCTAATCGATGCATTTTAGCAAGAAATCTCACGGCGTTCGCATCATTCACCTGCACCATCAGTAATTCTGGTCATCGATTTACTCTAGCATGTGGCGTTGAAGTGGACATTCATGACTTAAAGCTGCACAATGAGATCCGCTGGCGCTAGCGAGATCGCAGCAGTCTCCATATAGATCTTTTTACTCTTGCTATTTTTTGCGAAAGGGTAACAACAGGCAACTTATCAGGATTCTTTGGCGTAGAAGGAACTTTTTTGTTTTTGGTGTAGTGTACAATTACGTAGGAATCAATCCAACCCTCTTCCCAGTCTCTTGAATCTAAGCGTTTGATGGAGCAACGTTAGGAATAAGATTCACATGCATGCAAACACACGCACGTATACATGAATATACTGATCTCTGCATGAAATGTATGAGCTCATCTAGTGCAGCGACTTAGAAGCAGCGTTTTGCCAATATCTAGCTCTATTCCTTTCACAAGAGAGGGATCCGAACATTTGAACTCTTAGTTGGATGCGTAATCGTCACGAATATTCTACGAAAAATAGATTATTGATAAGTGGTAGCTATTACTGTAAAGAGTAGCAGACTCATTTATGAACGCGTTAAGCGAATGAAAGCATTGGAACATGCGTCTAATCCAACAATGACACATTTGCTTGCAGTCCAACTTTACCAAGCCGATGGACCTCAACATAATTTATTCCTCCAGTATTTTTTTGCAGTTTTTTTTAAGGTTCTCTTTTTGGAATCTTGATGCATTTGAGCAGCGCCGTCTCTATGCCTTCGTCACAGGTTTCTTACGGCTCATCTGAGCTAACGATGGTACGTGACGTTGCGTTTACTTTCAGCTTCAATTTATGAGGTGGAAATTTAAACCACGTATACTCGTATAAATGGATAAACTTCTAATGTAAAAGCGAATTTTTTAAAATTGTCTAAGGTTTTCAATGTTTTATAGGGTAACCAGCGCAAAGAATAGGGCTCTCACTCGACACTGCAACGACTCACCAAGGCTGTATCCTACCAGGGCCGCAAATTGGTGCCGAACTTGTTTGAGATCAGCTTATTTCTTTGATTCGCGTGAGGACGCTCTAGGAAGATATCCGAAGACTCAGATAGAATCGAGGTGACCATTAATCAACGACATTCGTGATAAAGACAAAAGTCCTCAAGCAACACGAGAATTCACACTCGAAAGTTCGGACACGTTCGTGAGTGATGGAAGAGATGAAGCGAATCGAATGCAAAAAGTACGGGGATTCCGAAGTGTATGTGAAGACAAATCTCACACAATAAAGTAAATAAAAAACACTGTTACTAAACTGATTTTGACTTAACCTCTGCATGAATAGTCAATATTTCTCTTCGAAATGTTCAGCTTACACGAGATTGTTACATAAGTTTTATTCGACTGATATTTCGACATCTTCATTTTTCTCTGAACCGATGATCGGAATCGCCTGTCTTCTCGATTTGGTGTCTTCGTTGTCGTGTCGAGTCGAATTTTCTTCAGTGCAGCACTGCTCGAACAAGCAACCTCGTCAGACGGTGTTCTTTTACACAAGACGGTTGTTGACTAATTGCCGGCTTATAATGACGTCTTTTTATGGCGATATCAAAATTCATAAATCATTATAAACCGATAACCATTTAACAACCGCCCTGTATAAAACAGCACTGCTTGGTCAGCACAACCTACCTTATTCGAGCAGTGTTCCACTGAAGAAGGTCTAACTCCGAAGACGTCACATCGAGAAGACTAGCAACCGTTGACCATTGAATTGAATCATTGGCTCTGAGGAAAACAACGAAGTCGAAACATTAGCCGAATAAAACTTAAATTACAACCTCGAGTAAGCTGAACATTTCAAAAAGATAAGTTTACATATATTCAACTATTCACGACTTCAGAAAGCGATGGGCTGTTCTTTGGCACCGGGCAACAATCCTTATGAGGTTCTTCAAATCTTCTAAAGTAAAAAGCTCAAAGAAAGCTTTTCGTGTGCTTCTCCAGCACAAATCAAGAATTTACTTGTACCAATTTTAGTCAACCGATGGTTAAAGGAGTAGTAATAGGTGGAGGTCAATTATTACAAGTAGTATGCTCTTCCCTCCTAACAGTTTACCGCCTCATTGTGGCTGGGAGGTTTCCTAGGTGGCAGGTTGCGATGTACAGCACAGAGATTTGTCCATCTGGCCCATCTGGCAGAGTCTCCCAAGCTGAGAAGAAGTCCGGCGTTTCCATCAGGAAGCCTAGCTAATAGTAAACCAATACCGGGATCCACCACCATCCTGGTATCAAAGTAGTCCCATTGTGGCAAATCTCTCTCTGGTCCATAAGGCTTCCGACTGACTGTCGTGGTGAAGACCGGGACAGACTTTGGCCAAGCCGACCTCGGAATTGTAGGAAACTACAGTAGCTTAGCCAGCAAACCTCCGAAAAAGTGGAGATTATGCCAGGCGCCCACAACCAGTGAGGACGGGCCATTCAAGTACCAAGTAAGTATTTATGCACTTCTGTTCTTTGAATTAGAAACCCATGGAAGCAAGCGATGTAATATACTCACCTACTAAGACAAAAGCCATAACCGCTATGAATTCAGCTGCACATCTAGCGGTCACAGAGTACGGTTCAGGTTGTTCAGACATAGTAGTATTTTGGCTTATGCTTTCAATATTTCGATTCTGAAAATGTTCGAGTCTACAAGTTGGAACAGCAAACAAGAGGAAAACAACTCAAAAAGACTTTCACTTTCATCTTAAATTAATGTCCTTAATGAAACTTTCCTAAGATGCGCAAATATGTTTGAAGTTCAGTCAGACGAAGCGCTTCTCAAGCATTAAAAATTTCATTCTATGCTGACTCCTAGACAACATTCTTTTTTATGTGCCGTAATAATGCTACAGCGTTCCCATTTTCTTAATTATCTGCTGAAATCCGCGGCAGATTCCCATATTCAGTACAAGTTTGTGAGAAGTTGGCATTGTGAACGGTTTATTAAAATTTTCAAACCGTAAAACAGCACGTTGCTTCTTTTGTTGTCTCTTGAAAAGACTTTCTTGATAAGTGCTAATAGGGAGCAACATTTCCCAATTTTACATTTGCGATTCAGCCAGTCGGAAAAGCCAGAATCGAATGACTTCAAAGCAGAAACAAATCGTTTTACTTTCAGAAATTTGAAACCCATAAAAAACGATAAAGCTGCCGGCGTTTATCAGTTTCTGGGGACGGGTCATGCATTCAACTTCGTTAAGTATTGTTTGGAGATGACTGAATGCATACCTGCCCTTTACATGACTCGCGGTAGCCTACCAATTATCAAGCCAATGATATTAACTTATCAGACAAGTCTGATACCGATTTGCTGACCCCGGAAGAACGGAAGGCTTGGTGAGCCGGGGCGCGAGGATCGAACCCATGTGTGTGTTGCAGGGCGCCTCCGGTCGCTGCACCACATGCTCCTTATTGAAAACCATGGCGAAGTTTACTGGATGTTCTTTTCACCGATGAAGCTATGGGTGATTACAAGTGTGCATTCGAAACTTATTTCTAAGCATAGCAAAATAAAGGATGAGAGGTTCACTGTGGACTAATCCTTGGAGAATGGGCCATGCTATCGACTTCACTAACTACTTTTAGAGGTGGATTAATGTATATCTGGCCTATACAATGACTCGCAGTGCTGTTGTTCGTAAATTCTTTTATGATTATAGTTTTCTAAATTGAACCGAGCGAGCAAACAGGTATTTCGAATCTAACATTTGAAGAGACATGACTGGCGGCACAATTCTTCATATCTTTTGAACAAGCTGCAACATTTTCCATGCAACGCTACTTGTCTTATAAACATTTTTATCGCAATTACAAACCACTTTCTAGTTAATTCTGAGCTTTTAATTAAAATATGTTTGATATTACGCGTCATATTCACAAATAGATGAATTCACAAAATAATTCCGCTGTCCCTGGTACGCGTCCGCTTCTTGAATATCAGCGGGAACCCAAAGCTCCGCGTAAGTTCAGCGATCAGGCGTTTTTGTATCTTGTTTCAAGATCGTAACCCCGCAAATAGGTGGTATATATCAAGGTCGCTGCATCGTTATCCTTTTCTGAACCGGGCATATATTGAGGGCGAGTAGCAT